GTGGCGTCCGGGAGCGCTCCTGCACGCCAGCCTGAGAGTAAAGGAGCCAGGGCAGGCAGGGCTACCAGGGCACGCGCAAGGGGTTCGACGGCGGCCCGCGGCAGTTCCGGTGCGGCTCCACGCAGCTCGCAGCGCTCAAGGGCCTCAAGCCGGCGCTCTCGAACCCTGGCGGCGCGAGGCGGCATCACAAGAAGGCCCGGGGGTGGCAGACGGCAAGCTACTACGACCAGCCGAGGCGGTGGTGAGCACCAGGGACAGCCAGAGTAGATAGGTAGATAGGCACGGGCGCACCTTTCAGGGCGCTACTCAAAGGAAATATATCCTGGCTGGTTGTTTGCGTTTCTGAGCGATTCCGGCGAATTTTTTTTTTTTTTTTTTTTTTTACCCCTGGGTTCAATTGCCGGTCCGTCGCGACCGGCAGACGGAAGCCACTTAGTTAAATATGTAAGGAAGGTGGGAGGAAAGGTAGGGCACGTCACTGTGTGCGGCAAACGCCAGGCCGTCTTAGCGCGTTTTTTGTGCTAGCGCATCACGTAAAATTTGCAGGCGCGTGCCTAGGCGGTAAGAATCAGTAGACAGCGCCATCAAATGCCACAACAAGCCGCAATTGAGGCTATTCGCATCGCTGTGGCGATTGATTTTGACTGTTTTGTTGTTGTTTCTGTTTTTATTTTTTTGTCCATACTTTTGTTCCTCTTCGTCTTCAGAACCGGATATCTGTTGATGAACTTCTAGAGCCAATGCTTGCCAACAGTCTAGTCAGATCCAGAGGCATAGAAGATGCGGTTGGCGAAGGTCTAGATCTGCCTATGCTTGACAAGAAGCCCAAGAGCCTCTTGGGCAAGGACCCAATCGGCCAAGTGTTTTTCTTGATCGGGGCTGAGCTTCTGCATCACCTGGGCTTGGTATTGACCCTTTGGTTGGGCGTGGGCAACGACTCGGCCTCGAAGGGTAGAAAAGGGGACCCCCCAGGCCTCGCTAGCCTTACGGATAGATTGTCCATCCTTGACAGCCTGGATTGCCAACTGAATGATGTCTTCGCGAGCCATAGCAAATATGTTTAAAATGAGAGCAACAGGATTAGAATTGGGCTTGATTTGGTGAAACTGTGTGGGTTGGAACAGAGAGGGTGCCGGATCAGGAGGGAGTGAAAATTTGATCGGTTAGTGGCCTGATCGGAAACGGGGTGCACGGACTTAATAGCGCTAGCAGACACGGAAAATACGCACACCAGCCACCTCATACCAAATCCATTTCTTCCACCTTCTCCTAGGATCTTTTTTCCGTTCAGCCATTCAACATGGCGAAGACGCCTCCCCCGTCGACGCACGCAAGCCCAACTCGCGCGACCGTTCCATTCTCAGACATATTTTTTCTGTTTCATTCTTAAATATGTCCACTTCTACTTATTCTCCTCCCTCCGCCTCCGGGGCTGGCAACGCTACCAATGCCTCCCCCACCCCGGCGCCATCTTCCCCCACCGCACCCAAGCGGTACCGCGGCTTGTAGGCCTCTCGGTGGACCCACCCGTCGCGTTCAGGGTTTACGGTACCATCGAGTACTGGTGGCGGGATTGTTCCTGATTTATCTTGCCGCTCGAACGGTAAACCTCTCAGTGGCGGCGGTACTCTCCGACTGAATCGTCGGGTCATCCTTCGCTCGACGTTCCCAGCTTCCCAGCGTTGTCGCTGTCTGTCGATTTTTGCCTGTCGTTGAGGGATTTGCTCGAGAATGCTTTTGTATTTGTCGTTAGTCTGGTAGCCGTCGATGATGCGTATCGCCAACTGTTGGATATCGCTTGATGCTGTCTCCGACAGCGAGACAGACATGTGTTTGCTCGCCTCCAGTCTCTGGCGGTGCGTTGAACTGGCAAGTGAGCAACAAGGATCGGCAGCACGCTAAGAAGGCCATTGTAGACAATTTGGCCCGAGTCATCGGAGGTAAGAAACAGTAAGACGATAAATTGTATTGTCTTCAAGTCGTCGGTAGTTACCCCCCTATATTGTTAGGGTGGACTACCGGCCCAACAAGATATGAAGCAATCCCGCGACGCTTCCGTTCTGTCTCCAACCCATCAATATACATACCATCCTAAGCCTGTTTGTCTAGTGGCCTTCCAAGCCCTCGGTACCTACTTTCCTCGGCCCTACAACTTCGCCGTCCCTCCCTCCAGCAGCTTATTCCCCAGCTGAGCCATCTCAAACTTGCGCACCTTACCGCTGCCCGTCAATGGCACCGTAGCCGGGACGCCGTCCACCCCCAGCCAAAACACGTGCGTCGGCGCCTTGTGCTTCCCCAGCTTCCGCCTCACCCACTCCCGGACCTCCTCCGCGCCCGGCCGCTGCTGCTGTCCATGCCCAGCATCCACGTCCAGAAACGCCCCAACCACCTCCCCATAATGCGCGTCCTTCAACCCCACCACCACCGCCATGCCCACCGCCGGGTGCGCCACTAGCCGCTCCTCAATCTCCAACGGATAGATATTCTCCCCCCCGCGAATAATAATATCCTTAAACCGGCCCGTAATCGTACAATACCCCCTCTCATCAAACACCGCCTCATCCCCCGTATGCAGCCACAACACCCCACTCTCATCCCGCACCATCACCTCCCCCGTCTTCTCCGAATTATTCCAATAGCCCGCCTGCAGCTGATACCCGCCAATACACAACTCCCCCCTCGTGCCCACCGGCACCACCACCCCCTCCCGATCCACAATCTTGGCCCTCGCATGCGGCATCAGCCGCCCCACCGTCGCCAGCCTCGTGGCCACCGTATCATCAGTAAACGCATTAAAACACGTCGGCGACGCCTCCGTCAGTCCATAACTCGACGTAAACTCCGCCATCCCCAACCGCTCCACCATCCCCTCCATCAAATGCCTCGGCACCGGCGCCCCCGCAACAATCCCCGTCCTTAAACCCAGTTCCCCGGCCCTCACCCCCTTCATCTCGGGCAGCGCCAGCAGGCTATCAAACATAGCCGGCACGCCGTGCAGGGCGGTGCAGTGCTCGGCGCGGAGGGCGCGCAGCGTGGCGCGCGCGTCGAAGACCTCGGCTGGGTAGACGATCTTGGCGCCGTGCGTGAGTACGGTGAGCAGGCCGAGGACCAGCCCGAAGCAGTGGAAGAGGGGCGGTGGACAGCAGAGCGTGTCGGTGGGGGCCAGGCGCAGCCGGTCCCCGATGAAGCGCGCGTTGTTGACGATGTTGCTGGGATGCGGTCAGTATTCGTTATTAGGTATCACTCTGAGTTTGGGGCCCGGGGTGGAGGCTTACTGGTGGGTGAGCATGGCGGCTTTGGGGAGGCCCGTGGTGCCGCTGGTGAATTGGAGATTGCAGACTAGGTGGGGGAGTACCTTGGCTTCGGCGTGGTGGAGGAGGTCGGGGTCGACCCGGGAGCCTTTGGAGAGGAGGTTTTTGTATGTGGTGTACCCGTCCGAGTCGCCCCGGAGGATCACCACTTTCGGCCCCGTTGCCCGCGCCGAGAGCTGGGTGAGGAGCGGCCCTTGGTCGAGCCGGGCAATGCGCTTCGTGGTGAAGAAAACCTTGCATTCTATTGATGGTCAGCCTCGGTAAGGGTCAAGCGGGCAGGCATTGAAAAACATACCGGAGAAGTCGAGACCGTATTGCGCTTCTGTTGGGGTGTATGTGTTGTTGAGAATGACGAGGATGGCGCCTATCCTCGTCGCGGCAAAGAAGACGGCAGCGTATTGCTCGCAATTGCCTGCCATGATGCCCACTCTATCACCCACGCCAATGCCCATCTCTAGTAGGGCGGCCGCCAGCAGCCGACTGTGGTGATTGAGCTCGTTGTAGGTCCATCTTGCGCCGGTCCACGGAATTACCACTGCTTCTCGCGTGCCGTGATGGAGACATTGCAGGTTGAGCAGCTCACCTAGTGTCAGGTCGACAAGAGGCGGATCTGTTGGGCCGAACAGGATCGATGGTGTCTGGGTTTGGGGGAGGATATAGCCGTCCTCGGCGGGGTGGGGGATGGGAACTTGAACCGACATGGCAAGGGAAGGCCGCAGCTGGACGACCGTCTCTTACACAAAGAAATCAATCTAAATATCACACAATCTGCCGTCCTCTGGTCGTTACACAAGAAAGAGACCGTCTCCCTGGGATCATTTGCGGTTTGTGTGAGTGCATTGCAGAATCTGGGGCTCGACCACAGCGTCGGAGCCGAGCGGAAGAAGAGGACGGATGTGATGACACTCCACGGACTGGACCCGTCTCGCTCGCCAGGGAATCCAAACTACTTCCTACCTCGGTCATTCCGTTACGGCCCTGGCGGTCACTAGTTCGATCTAATCTGATTAGATGCGGTCAGTCGGCTTTTCACCACTGCGGGCCACCATCCCTGCCATTGGCTCAGTGGGAGAGAACCATGGTTCTGGTGGCTTCTAGCCTTCCAACGGTGACCCATCCTCGCTTCTTCAAACGCCGGGACTGGTCCGCGTGAATGTTGGCTGGCGTGGAAATCAATATTGGCCCTCGGCTGAGAACGTGCATTAGCAGCGAGTGATGGAGCGAGATTGGGGCCCACCCCGAAAGAACCGGAAAACGGGTCAAATTTTTCTTACAGGTTCCCCCCGGCAGTGGGGTCCGTCGCACCTCTCTCCATCTGATAACCAGAAAGCTTACGACGAAATGGGGTGATGGTGGGCCGCCTTTGCCCTACGGAGTAGTAAAATGCCGCAGCGGAGCCATTGGTGAACCGTTCTTTCCTCGCGATCTGATAACATTATTCATGCCAAGGCCGTCCCACGTTGTGGCTTTGATCCAGACTCTGGAGGGAGAAGCTCGTGGTTTTGCTCGCCCCAGACTCTCAGGGTCACAGGTATTAACAGATGCGTTGTGTGCAGGACCAAATTTCCAATTTCATTCTTCATTCAGTACATTAGTTAGATGTCTGAGGCGCCCCCACAACTGACGACATTCTTGGCCTTGGATTTCGCTCTCGGGAATCACCCTGATCATTCCCGGACCCAATTATTGATGAACCCCACGTGCGGTGCCTGTCGATCTCCGAGGTCGGTGCCAAGGCGTTTCCGAGAATTATCTGATCCGCTTTCTGGCGTCCCAGTAAAGTTATCAGATCAAAGATCCCGGTCTCGTTCCAATCCCTGCAGCGCATTTCATTGGTTGTATGTTACCGGGCACTCGACCTGTCTCGGAACACTCGCGAGCCCAGAAACAGACGGAACCGTGAGGCCGGTTTCTGCCGCCGACATGACCCAGAATCCTGGTCGTTGGCTCGTTGCCGAGAAAAAAAACGTGGATGCGGATATTGGATACCCACTGTGATACAGTCCGCGCAAGACCGACTCATCGTGTCTTCGGGTACATGTGGTGATCCTGATGAACTGCTAGTTTCAAGTGTTCTTCTTGCAAGGTCGTAAAATTATTCGAACTGAACACATCTAATTTCTACCCCCTAATAAACCTACCAAGATGGCGGGTCACCGGACCAAAACACCACGCCAATTCGCAACCTACGCGGCGTTCTTCGAAGCCAATTCTCAAACTCCCGCATCCTTACCTCACGGCCTACTTTGTCCCCCCGAAGAAGACCAACCGGGATGGCAGTGCCCTATCAGCTCACCCCCGGCCAGCTCGAACCCGGAAGCAACCAACCGCCCCAACCCCTTCACAAATTCCGCTGTCAACTTCTCAGAACCCCAGGACCTCCAAGGTCCAGCGGACCGCCCCAGGCGACTGCCAATAACCACACCATGGGCTCGCGCGCGCCCGCAACCCCTCCGTAACAGTCCCAACCCCTGGACGGATACCACGGCCAACCTCCCACAATTGGCCAGGCCCTCTGGCTGCTCACCTACCGCCCCGTCTTCACCAATCCCGCCCCAACGAAGAAGCCTTCCGCCTCAACCTACCTCCCCTTAAACTCCAATACCCCGACCTTCGGTTCCCACGCCCCTCCGCCCCACCAGCTCCAAGCCCCTCGACGGTTCCCTCGCCAACCACCCCCAATTCCCCACCCGCCCCAACTAAGCACCCCCTCCCCCTTCCCCAGACTCCCAAACTCCCAACCCCCCCTTCAACCGACTCCGAACTCGAACCCTGCCTCCAATCCCCTCGGCCTCCAGCTCCAAGCGCCCGTTCTGGCAACGGCCCGCCCCGCCACTCCCCCCCCTTCCCCGGCCCCGGACGCGCACTGCCTGGGCCCCCTCAACCTCGACGAACTGCTCATCTCGCGCAGCGCCTTCTGGCAAGGCGCCGCCTCCCCCTTCGGCCCGCGCGCTGCCTTGGGCCCCCCCCAACGTCAACCCACCCCCAGCGACCCCCCCCAACCTCTCCCTCTACCCCCTTCCCCCTGCCCGAATACGTCATCACCAACACCGCCGCCAACACCCTCTCCTGGCACCCCCGCAGACATACCAAGCCCGCGCCAGGCATGCGTGGTGTACAGCCGGTGGATCCCCCATCTCGGAGAGACGATTCAGCATGCTGGCGCTGGACTGGCGGGATGGGGCGCACGTGGATCTGTTTCACGCCTGGCAGAATGACCCGCGCGTGTCGCAGGGGTGGAGCGAGACGGGCACGCGCGCGCAGCATGAGGGGTATTTAAGGAGGGTGAGTGAGGAGCCGCATCGGTTGGCGCTGTTGGCAAGGTTTGACGGGACGGCTTTTGCGTATTTTGAGGTTTATTGGGCGAAGGTGAGTAACCCACCAACTCTCCTTTCTCTTTCGCCTTACATCCCCCTACCCACCCATGTTGGGAGGCAGACGGTTCCTCCCAGCCCCCACCCCACGATAAAAAACACCCAACTAACCCCCAACAGGAGGATCTCATCAGCGCCTACCACCCCACCGCCGACTACGACCGCGGCCGACACAGCCTAGTCGGGGACGTGCGGTACCGCGGCCCGCACCGCGTCAGCGCGTGGTGGTCGAGCCAGATGCACTACCTGTTCCTGGACGACCCGCGGACCGCGAGCGTGGTGGGCGAGCCGAGGTACACGCACAGCTCGGTGCTGGTGTATGATCTGATGCATGGGTTTGGCCTGGACAAGTTCATTGACCTGCCGGGGAAGCGGGCGGCGCTGATGAGCTGTTCGAGGGAGCGGTTCTTTCAGCTGTGTCCGTTGGATGAGGGCGAGAAGGTGCTGGGGGGGACGGGGGTCGGGTTGGTGCCGAAGTTGTAGGGGCGGGGGGGTAGAAGGGGGTTGTGGGGGGAGTGTGGTGGGTGGCTGGGGTTGGGAGACAGCCGTGGAAAGAAAAGGGGAAAGGAGGATTGGAAATACCATGATGTTGCTGTAACACGGTAGTTGTAAGTAAGAGTTGTTTGGGATCATGGCTGGGGGTGTCCGTCACTTTTGGAACACAATGGGGGGAAAATAAAACATTCCATCGTTGAGGCTCCAAATTCTCTTCTATACCAATTGCAAATACCAAAGTTACCATCTTGCTCAAAATAATACCCAAATCTTAACTACCTTACCCAAACCATCCCTCAACGCCCGTGCAGCTACACAACACCTTACTCCTCCGCCTTCTCCCCCCCAAGCCGAAGGTAATTCCAGCAAACTACCCCCGTCAGCACACAACCCCCCACAACCAAATCCCAAGACAAGACGACGGAAAATACTCACTCGAAAACCCCAGATCCTCCCCAAAAAACGTCTTCATCACCTCCTCCCCCGCCGTGACCCCCGCCTCCGGCCAGTACGCGACGGCCTTCCTGCCCACCGCAAGTCCAATCATGGGCGGGATCTCGTCCAGCGTGAGCAGTTTGGGTTTCCTGTCGCTTTGGGTTTGCGTCTGCATCTGCATGTGCTGGTGGATGTTGTGCGCCGCGTAGTAGCCCATGTGCATGGCGCCGCCGCAGCGCTTGATGCCGGACCATTGGGCCAGGTCGCCGACGGCGAAGTGGGAGGGGGCGTTGGGTGTGTTGGGGGGGAAGGCGAGGCTGGGTGGGGAGGGGTTGAGGGTTAATATGTTCCTTTCAATTGCGGGTGGAGAGTGAAAGGGAGGGTGAGTACCTACCTGGACTGGATCTTGACGTATCCCTCGTCGTCGAGCACGTTGGCTGGGAGGTATGTTGTTGATGGGATGCTCCGCGATACTGCGAGGGTAACTTGGTCGGCGAGCATGGTGTGGCCGTTGGTGAAATGGAGTTTGAGGCAGTCTTTGCCTGTGTCATCCTGGATCTCCTCGGTGCGGCCGAGACGGTGGGACATGAGCACGGTGACATTGGCTTCCCTGAGCAACTCTAGGCTGCGCTCTCCAACCTCCTCGGGTAGCGGCTCGGAGGAGAGCAGCTTGTCGCGGGAGTGGACGAGAGTGACGTTGAGCTGTGGTTGCGTTACCTTGAGCTCGGCTGCCATCTCGATGCCCACAGCGCCTGTGTCCGTTAGCAGTGTGTCCTCAAGGGGAGATACGGGAAGACATACCACCGCCAACAACGACCACGCCGTGCCTTGCAGCCGTGGCAGCTCGGATGTGATCCCCCGCCTCGAACAGATACTGCTTCCTGCGCAGCGATTGGGGCACGACGGGCCACGCCCTCCTCAACCCAGAAGCAGCGACAAAGTAGTCGTACTGCATCTCCTCGGGCTCCTCGGTGCTGCCGTGCGCAAGGTAGGTTGCTACCTTCCGCTCCGGGTCGACCGACTTGACTGACCCGTGGAGCACGCGGATGTTGGGCGATCGCAACCCGGGCATGTCTTCGTACTTGACCCAGAACTTTTCGGCGTGTGCCTCGGACGCCAGCGCCAGGGGCGAGCCAATGACGTGATCTAGGGGTGTTGTAAGTGGGTGGAAACTCGCGTCCTGGTTGGGGAATAACTCACAGTAGCCATCCCGCTCGTTAATTATGGTGATATCCACTGCGCATGGTGATGGTTGGACGGGTTTGCCCTCCGCCGGGGTTGGCCCACACCGTGGCGCCAACCCCTGACAGAGATCTTGGAGGTTGAGTGCGGCCGAGAGACCGCCGTATGAGCCGCCGGCCACAAGGACCTTGAACGGTTGCGTTCGAAGGCCTGCGAGAGAGCCCATAGTGACTGGTAAAAGTGGTGATGAGACGGGGTTGAAGAGTCGAGTCAGTCGACGGGGTAGTGATGCCGGCTGTCGACGGAAATTAGCCTGGATAAATCTGGGAATTTGTTTAGAAGTGCGGTGAAAAGGCGGCATGAGGGGGAAGAGATAGGGAAGGACAGCGATGGGGGAGGGTTGCCCAAATTTGACCAACAACCTCCCCCGTTTTATTCCATGTTTCGAAGGGAAACTCGAGCCGACCGAAGCGACGGCTCCGAGAGGGTTGATAGAATTGGACCCCACACACATCCCTCCCTTCTCGTGCGATTCCCCAACTCTTTTCTTGGCCCTTCCTCCACGGGCCGACTGGGTAGGGGCAGTCCCACTGCCGAGATACTGCCAGTTAGTCCCTACCCTCGAGTTCTTTTCTTTGGCCCTAACAGTTTGCACTGCCACCATATTTTCGACCGGCCTGTCCCTCGACAGGGAACCCGGCATCGGATCAGTGACCCCTTGTCAAGCCTGCTCCCATTCCAACACTGGGCCCACGCGAGAGCCAACCGGAAGGGCTCGTTGCGTTCCATGTCTTGAACCCCCGCCCCGGGCCTCCACACCCGACCCGCTCTGCTGCAGGCTCATCTTATCAGATCATCAGTGGACAGGGATGCGTAGCCCGAGGACAGCCGGTTCTCTCCTCCCTTTTGCCGAGCTCCGCACGAGTCGGGGGCAAGGGGAGGTACTGATTTCCCGCTGTTGACTGGAGTTTTGGGGATGTGGCCAAAACACACGAGGCCGAGCGGCGTATGGCTGCTAAGGTGCAGTGGCGCGTAACTGTCACGTTAGAAGCTAAGGGGGCCGAGTACTTTTGAAAAGGTGTGGCAACTACCCTGCAGTAGATGGATGAGTAGGTCTAGGTTACACAACGAGGCGTAAACATCTTCGCAATTGAGCGCACACCTAGGTATTCAAGGCGCTTTTCACCATACTTTCCAGTCAGGTATCGCGGGTTGCTTGGAGCGGCTTCTCAAGAAATGCAAGTACCTAGTACCTAGGTAGCTACCCACCTACCCTTGGCCGTCATTGTTTTTTATCTCTAGCTTGCTGTTGCCCTGTTCTCTGCTTGACTTTGACCAAGCAGGTACATGTACTTGCAATGACCAGCGCCAGAGGTCGTGGCGTCTCATTTCCTCTTTGTGTTTACTCATCAGGGGGTCAACGTGGTCGCCGCCGTTCTACCATGGTTGACATCTTTGGCTCTCTTCTGCTGTTCTTGTGCCATCGGCTCGACCGGCGGTGTTCCTCCCTCACTCACAAAGACCCTTCGGACTCCCGCGGGTAAATCTCGTAAGTGGGCTTTTTGGCGCAAGATTACCATATGTGGTTCCGGTCTTGAAAACCTTGTCGTCCTTCTTGGCTTTCTCGCTATCGTGACCATGGTCGGTCAAGAATTCGGTAGCCGAGACGCATGGATCTCAACTATCCCTTCCTGAGGTTAAAGCTTACTTTGGTTACTCTGTGCCGGCCAGAAAAGGTCATTGTAATCAGTAAAAAAACAAGTTTGTGTTGGCACCTGCAGGGCCAGCGCCCTGTAGGTTGGCCTGTGCACAAGCCCACTCACAGTTCTTGGTTTCAGCTGCTGCAGCTTTAGCTGCAACAACCACTCAATCCATTTTGAGCACTTCCTCTGCCTCAAGAGTTTGTAAGTCTTCTTCGTCCTGGAGTAACACCTCCTCAAACACTTGGCTGAGAGGGTCATGAGTGTCCTGAGTGTCCTCTTGGTCGGCTTCTGTAGCCCTGTCTTTGCCTTTCGGAGGTACTGCCATCGTATTGGATGCCCTACGGGTCTTACTATCGTGGGTCGTAAACTAGATTCCGGTCTATATCCGGTCTATAGGTAGATGTCACCGTCGCCGGTCAGTTAGGTGAGTTTTAGTTGTAGTGTCACGGCGGGCACACACAACAAAGGGCCGCCCATATATACATGTCGCCTAGCTGCCTGCTCGAAACAAATATACCATTGAGCCGAACTTGCTAAAATCGGATGTATAGGTAGTATAGGTAGTGTAAGATGGATAATACACTTGGGATGGACAGCAGGATTCAAGATAGAGAGCAAAACTCAAGACGGACAGCAAAACGTAAGATGGACAGGAAGAGTTGAGACGGACAGGAAGAATTTAGCCGGACTATAGAATGGTGTACGAGGTAGGATCGTGCTTGGAATAAGATTCAGCTTCCGTCGGGGCAGCGGAGGTTTACTGCATGGCCCTTTCAATTCCGACTTGCACCAATTTGTCGACGAGGAATACGCTACCTACGACTTGCTTGGCCGCCGGGACCTGGATGTCAACTACGACTGGGCGCGACACATCGGCCGCTATTACCACGAGGAGTTCACTACTAGAAGCTTCTAGGTGCAGCTTCGCGGAGGGACTCCAGGCAATTACGACGTGGAAGATATGCCTCTCGCAGTCCATGACACGCTGAACACACAGCAGCGTCAGGTATACGAGACGATCATGCGCCACTTCAAGGCGAAGAACGAGAACCGTCGGCCTCCGCCCCTCCGGTTGCAGATCGATGGAGGAGGTGGGACTGGCAAGTCGTATATGGTGGTGTATGGCCGGCCCTCCCCCATCGTCAGAGCAGCTCCGACGGGCGTGGCGAGCAACCAGATCGGGGGACAGACTCTGCATTCCCTTCTGCGGCTCCCCGTCGACGGCGATTACCGCTCGCTCTCCGAGACCCCGACGACCCTCAACGCCTTGCAGCGGCGGTTCAGGGGCATCCACTACCTCGTCATTGACGACAAGAGCATGCTGTGGAAGACACAGGCACGAAAAGATCTGTAGATCGCAATGTCTGTGTATTCTGTGGAAAAACTGGTCTAACAAACTAAGTGGGAGAACTGGTCGCACTGCGTGGGGTTTTACCCACGCAGGGTCAGTGGTGTGTGCGCAGTCTGGAAAAGGTGGGCCCGGAACCCCGGCCGGGACCGCAACACATGCTCGGCCTCAAGACCCTCGCGTGGATCGACCAGCGCCTACGAGAGGTGTTCCCGGAGAATCGCGACGAGTTCTTCGGCGGCCCCAGCGTCATCCTGATCGGGGACTTCTTCCAGCTTCCCCCTGTTCTGAACAAGCCGCTGTACTCCAACGCGCGACGACCTGAAGGATATCGAGATGGTCGGGCGCAACGCGTACCCCTCGTTCAACAAGTCCCTATTCCTAACCACAATACAGCGGCAGCAGGGCGAAGACCAGGCTCCTTTTCGGCGGGCCTTAGAAGAACTGCGAAAGGCTGATGTGTCGGTACCCTCCTGGGAGCTGCTTGCTTCGAGGTGTTCTATCAAGCTCTCTCCCGAGGAGGTTGACAGCTTTGCTGATGCGCTTCGCATCCATCCCACCAAGGCCCAGGTCGTCGAGTACAATCATCAACACATGCTTGGCCTGGACAGCCCCGCCATTCAGGTCGAAGCAAAGCATGAGGGTGTTGGTGCGTAGAAGGTTGAATCCTCAAATGCCGGCAACTTTGGCCAAGCGCTTGCCCTTGTGTGTTGGTTGCAGGGTGATGCTAACGCGGAACTTGTGGGCGGACTTCGGGCTCGTCAACGGCGCACAGGGCACAGTCTACAACATATCCTGGAAAGAAGGTGCCGACGTGCTGCGAGACCCGCCCGAGGTCATCATGGTGGCCTTCGATGACTACGACGGCCCGGCCTTCACGATGCCGAACGGGGAGCCGCTCCGTAGTGGAGAGAAGCTGGTTGTTCCCATCCTCCGAGTGCGGCAGGAATTCATGATCGGCGCCAACTCATGTTCGAGAGAGCAGTTCCCGCTGCTGGTCAGCTATGCGATCACCGTCCACAAGTCACAGGGCATCACCCTGGACAAAGTCGTCTGCGATATCTCTGCGCCAGAGTTTGCTTCTGGCCTCTCCTACGTGGCCGTCTCGCGGGTGAAGACACTCGGCGGGCTGATGTTTGAGCGGCCCTTCGACCGCAGCAGGATCTACCGCGAGACACCATCACGAGCCATGGGTTTGAAGTTATTGGATCACGCTACTAGGCGACTGCAGGCGTTAGATGCTGTGGCGGGGGTGGATCCTTCAGAGGAGTTAAGTGGGTTTATAAGTAGCGACGAAAAGAGTGTAGAGGCATGAGTACTTAGAATATAATAGAAATGATTGGTATAAGTGTGATGAGAAGTTCAAGTGGATGGAGTTGTTGGCCGACAGACAGATATTGGCGCTTCGTCTCTCCCGTATTTAACCCTAACCCGGATTGTCCTCCGGAGAGGGACAGGAAAATTGCCAGGAGCGGGAGAGAGGAAGGAAGCGCCCCGTAGCGTAGCGAAGGGCCGTGCGACTGACGAACGAAGCGACGCCAGCAATTTTATACATAATCTTCGTTACGTCTAGTGGCTCTCCTAAACCGGGTTCTCGCCCTCCCTTCCATTCTCCACCGCCATCGGCCTCAGGCCGGG